ATATGAGAACAAAATTGTAGTGTTTTTTTCTGATAAAAAATGTACGCCTTTCTTCTCATCACATTCTGTCTTCATTCTTGTACTTATTAGTTTGACTTTTTTCAGTGTGGCCCTAAAATACTCTTCTTACATGGCACAAATTGGTACATGACATACATTGTTAACTAGTGAGTAATTTGACCCCGGATGTGCATATCCCTGCAAATCAGTAACAAATGAGGTTGAATGGCGAAGGCGCTATTGCTTTAAATTGTGACTTCAAAGTCTATGAATGAGACGTGTGAGTCACTTGTGTGATCCCACATAGTGTCATTTCCACACGGAACATTCTTGCAGCTGTCATGTTATGAATTGGTTTGCCATAGTTAGCAAAGTCATCGGGGCCTGCCCATTCATGAACGATTAAGCCACTAAGTGATGACGATCAGATCCGCTTGGGCTGGCTCTTTGGCTCCGCCGTCACCGCCCCCGTCGTCGTCGTCATCATCAGCAGCAGCATCATCATCATCATCGTCCTTGCTTGCGTCACTTGCGACTTCTTGTCCATGGCCGAGGCCGGCGGGGGCCGACAGGGAGTGCGGCGTCCGTCCCATGCCCTGGTAGCGCCCGCCAGGCGACGGCGGATCAGACGCTGCCTCGCCGATAGCGTCCTGCGAGGCTGACGACGAGAGGAGGCCGGAGCGCTCGCCAGAGCTCTGCGCCTCACCAAAGTATGGCTTCCGGGGGCGACCCATCACGGTTCGACCTGTCAAGTAAGACAGGAAAAGAAAAATTGAGAATCTAATAGTTTTATGACTAATGATCTTTTTCATCCCCAATTCAGAATTCAACAACTCTTTGTCTCGGAAGTTGCACAAAACTTGAGACACAAGCGAACCACCTCACAATCATGTTGCCTAGCTAACATGTTAACCGACGCGCAAATTGATTAACGTTCAGGCTGACTAACAATCAAAGCAACTAAATGACAACAACAGACTAGCTACAGCAATAAGAATTGGGGTAACTAAGGAGTGGTGACGTTAACTAAGACTAGCGTGGAGAACAACAGACAAGCAAACCGACTGTCTGCTTAACTGACTTGCTAACAATGGCCATGTCTAATATTCACATGAATTATTTCTAGTTCCATTTAGTTTGTTTTGCAGTTGTTGTGATTTGCTGAGATATCAAAAAAAAAAGAAAAATGGAATTGAATTGTCACGGACCGACATTGCGGACTTGTTCCGAGATGTCGGCCCTGACGTCGGAGACGTCCCACATGGCCATGAAGGAGTCAAAGCAGGAGCCCTCCTCGGCCTCCTGGATGTAAGGCTTGTACGTGAAGCTCACGTGATGAGCTATAGCTGCCAGGAACATCTCCACGCAGATCACAAAGTCCTGAGAAAGACAAAGCGTTTTATCAACCTAACTCATGATCGAGTGAATAAAAATAGAACAAACTAACTAGCGACCACTATTATTTTTGGTGCACACCGAAGAACCGAACGTCAAATTTGAGTTTCCAAACGCTTGGAGTGAGCCACTGCGCACTCGGAGCGTGTTTCTAGAACGCGC